AAACTGATGAATATGCCAACAAATCAAAAAAATTTCACAAACAAATATTGGATCCACCAATTAGGCGATGCATTCCAACTTATCAAATAGCTTCTGAATGCATCAACAAATAAAAAAATTCAAGGAACTTTATCCATTCATCCAAAAATTCCATGATAAAAAAATCATTCCTGTGAACACACTTGGCAATCACAAATCCCTTTGCCCATCACAAAATAAATAAATAAAATCTTATTTTCACAACCAATACCTCAAACATTAGAGTAAAACAAAACAATAATTCTAATATTGTACAATTAACAATTAAGCAGATTAAACCCAAAATGCAAGTAAATTTGGTGCTCATTTCATCCAAAACCAAGGGAGGAAATGGAATTGCAAAGAGTGACCAACTATTTGCCAATGAAGCATCGTCAATGCTACAGTTACAGGCAGGGGTTCTGCTATTATTGAAGGAATAAACAAAAAATTTGCACCGTTTGGATATAACTTCTCTCAACGACTCTACGTTGGTTGGGCCATCAACATTTGTTCTCAGAACATTGTCCATAACAGAAAATTTCGTGATATATCACAAAACTAAAAACTGATTTGTGGCTATATTTCCTGTGCAACCTAATAGAGAATTTCATGATATGGAAAATATGGTGCTACTGTTGGGTTTTTTTTTTTTATATATACTTCAGGGTTCAATTGATTTTTACCACATGCAAAGTGCTCGAAAAGTAGGTTGTAACATAGCAAATGCTGAGGCTAGAACATAGCATACACATATATGCTTTGTGTGTGTAGGTTGTGTGGCGTGTTATGGGTGTGTGTGTTGGAGTATTTATGTTAGGAGCATTTGGTCGAACATCTTGTGTGTGTGTGTGTAGTGCATTTTGTGTGTGTCCTTGTGTGTTGTGTGTGTTGTGCGATGTGAGCAGCTAAGAGAGAGAAGAGAGTCGTGCATGGCAACAAAGAGAGAGATGAGCAGATAGTGAGAGAGAGAAGTAGAGATAGAGATAGAGACTTATACCTGGCAGCGGAGAGAGAATCAGTGGCTTTGATATCGATGGAGAGAGAAGAGATTTGGGAGTGGACAGAGAGAGGCAACAAGAGGGAGGGGCTGATTTATAGGGCTTGAATTGGGGGAGAGATGAAAATTTGGGCATCGCTGGTATGAAAAGGGCATGAGTGTGAGGCAGAGGAGGAAAAAGAGAGAGGTTGGGTGTGAGTGTGTGAGGCAGATGAGGAAAGAAAGACGGTGGGCGGTGGCTTGGGCACTTGAGGTCTCACGCACATACTCCTTCAATTTGAAGCTCTGCATCAACTTGATCACCTGAAGATTTGGTACATCGATCTCTAGATGCTTCATTAGGTTGTAGTCCTTCTTTGCAAAGCACGCTCCCTTGGCAGAGGATTCACCGCAAATCGCATTTTACAAAATACACAGACAAACACATACATAGAAATAGAGGGGGAGAGAGAGAAACCTTGGACGAGGTATTTGGAGATCTCTCTCCGATTCTTCTCTGTGATAATTTGAGGAAGAATATGGAAACATTGGTTAATTCACACAAAGACATCAATATGAATACACTTCTATATACACATACAGAGAGAGAGAGAGAAGCTCACCATGCCTGCGGTGGGATTGTGGAAGAGAGGAAGAAACAAAGACGACTACAACCTAATGGGGGCGCTGAATATCCAGATTAGAGTTTTTAAGAATTCTCCAAAACTACTTTAGGCAGGATAGTGGCGTAAGAGATCGGGAAAGAGAGGCAGAAGTGAGAGAGAGAGGTGTGAGAGAGATAGAAGCAGAAGTGAGAAGGAGAGGCGTGAAACAGATGCCATCGTTGGGCGGGAAAGAAAATTTTAATACATATAGTCGACTGTTATATCATAATTTTTGAGATGATTTGAACAGTCTTTTATATTGAGTATATATTATTCTTTGAATGTGTTTATGTTTTGTCTCAAAATGACATAAATCTCTCTTTGTCTTTTGGAGATATATATATATATCATCTACAAATTAGATAACGCATCTATTAGATATTTCTATAGAAACATAAAAAATATAAAATTATTTAATCAATGCATTCCAAAAGAGAATATCTTAGAAGGATTTTAGAGATAAGAACTTCCTAACCAATAATTTGCGTAAGAATTTTTTCTTAGCCTACTATACCCAATTAGGTATGGTATTACTATCCGACTTCCTACCCGATTGATCAGATAGAAAGTTGGGTAAACATTTTTGTAATTATTAATTTTTGTGTCATTTTAACCATTCAATTAAATAATATGCACCAATTTAACAACACAATAAATCAATAACAGTAAAACTTAAAACAACTACAACAACAATTACAATAAAACATAAGAAAGTATGAACATTAATCCATCATAATTGTTTCATAAATATAATAACAATTATTTTAAATTTAAACCATATGAAACACAATAAAATCATAACTGCTCCAATAGATCACCAGTTCACCATAAATCATGTAAGCTACACAAAAAATAAGTCCATGTTTTAGCAACTCAAACATCTACAATAATAACAATATAAATCTTACTACTATGCTGACATTTAGCTTCATTTGTAACTACAATCTTTTCAAAATGCTCCCAAACTCTAGATCTTTTTTTTGTATCTTGTCCCTCACCCTGAATGTCATCAGTAACTTGGATGTGACTGTTAGAATCAGCTTGAGCAGATGATTGTGGAGTAATTTCATCCATAAGAAAATGATCTGTGAACAAAAATAAAAAAAAATTGAACAAATAAAATTACACACACAGATATGTAATTTAGAACAAACTCAGATTCAGAACAACAAAATGACACAAATTTAGAACAAACAAAATAGAACAAATTCAGAACAAACAAAATGGAACAAATGTAGAATTTCTTAAACAAAAGTTTTTAAACAGACAAAAGTTTTTAAACAAATAAAAGTTTTGTTAAAGAATTCTTCAAAAAAAAAAATTCTTTGAATTCAAGGACACAACCCAAGCTTTAATCAAATCTGTACAAGCCCCAGTCGTCACCCAGTTCCTCCGATCGTGAAAATGTCGTCACATAAGATCTTCATGATCAAGAAGAAGCTGGCGAAGAAGTAGAGGCAGAACAATCCCATTCCTCACTAGATTCGCATGAGGACCGACAACACCTTCAGGTACAATGCAAAGCGTAGGCACTGATTCCAGTTGTTTTGGATTCTGATTTAAGACTTGAAATTTGGGATTTTTCATGTTTGATGTTAACTGGATAAATTTTGAAAGCTTAAAAAAAAAAAAAGTAAGCCTAAACAATGCTTAAAAAAACAGAGAAGGCCTAAACAATGCTTGAAAGCTAGGGTTTTGAGGTTCATTAACTTGATGCTTAAAAAAAAAATCAAATCTGTAGATGAAGCCCTGAACGATGATGGCCACCAGATTGCACCCAAACACAGAGAGTGAGAGAGAGTGAGAGAGTACCTAGGGAGGTCGGGACTGAACGATGAAGGCTTGAGCTATGGAGACAGGGGCTTGAGTGCTAAAAGTCGAAGGAGGCAAAAGGAGAGGAGTGGAGTGAGGCGCTCAATTAGTCAGTAGACTATAAGGTTGGTTAGCAATTAGGGTTTTTTAAGTATATATATATATAAATTAATTAATGAATGCAGGTAGAGTATGGTAGGAATGCGAAAATTGATGGGTATTCTACATTTCTACCCAATTTAAATAAAAATTAAAAAATCTTCTGAATTCCTACTCGATTTTTTTAGCTAGCAGTTCAATAGGGTAGGGTAGGGTCGGGTAGAATCGAAAATTGCGGTCAATTGAAAATTTGAACACCCCTAATAGAAAGGACCTATAAATACCGCACTAGGGGTGCCAGACTATTTAAGGAAAAAAAATAAACACTTACTTATCACTTAAAATATAAGAGTTATTATTTGCTATAAAAAGTCTCATCTATATAATAAAGTACAATATATTTCAAATCTCAAAAAACATAAAAAATGACTTTTGTTTTTCATGGTTCAGATCTTTTTAAAATACTCTAAATTTGATCTGAAAGCTATTATTACCCCTCCAAATTTTATATTGTATACCCTCCCAAACTCCCTCTCTCATACTCTCGAATCATTACTCGCCATGTCCTACTCATTTTCTCTTGCCTCAATTCTTGCTTCAATCTCCAAGCTTCTTCATCTCTCTCTCTCTCACTTGGACATAAACATCAGACAACTCTCCATTACAACACATGCACACACACGATGATGCAAGTTTATTGGACCACCATTGATATAAGTTTTGTGTGTGAATAAAAATTAATTAATATGCATATTTTTTTGGACTAATTTATATGGTTGGTTTTGGGTATGAATATAAATATGTTTGCAGTTACTAGTAAGTAGATAAAGCACTAAGAGAATCTCCAATAGGTTCTTTATCTTCACTCAATTTTCTATTATAGAGAGAAAAATAAATTTTAAATTTTTTTCTCCAATTGACTCTTTTTTTAGACTGTAAAAAATAGATAGTCCAATTTGACTTTTTACATTTGGAGATTCAAACTCACTCTCTACTCTATTTTTTAGAACAAAAAAAAAGAATATATTTGTCTTTTCATCCAAGACATTTAGGATAAATGTATCTCCTTTAAAATAATGGAGAAAAAATAGGTGGGAAACCAAATTTAATTGTAAAAAAGGACAAAACATAAAATGATAAAAATAGAAAGCTGTATTGGAGTGGTGTATATAAATTTACAAATTTTTATTAAAGATGTTCCATTTTTTAGAAAAAGATGTGCTTTCTATTTTAGAGAGCACTGTTAAAGGTACTCTAATAAATTAAACGATAATTCATAATTTACCATTTCATATACTGGCATCCTTATCGAGTAGTTTTTTTCACTAAATTTAAACATGATGATAGTCAACATTGAGCACATGACTACTTAAATGATTCATATTTTATAGATAAAACTGAAGGCTCACACGCCACATTCTCACTACTCAAGAATATAAATCCTTAAGTCCTTTAATATCATCTGAAGCTAGGTTTTTGCTCACACCGGGTGGAATGGTTGGAAACATAATAGCTTCATTAACTGAGCTATGCCCAAGTCCCAAAAGGTGATCAATTTCATGCAGAGCCATAGACTCTAAGTTAATTGATCCAAGAACCACACCGTCGGACCACCTCTCATCAGCATCAAAGTGAAGCCTCCCATCAGTTGGTGCAAAAGCATGGGCCAAGATTCCACCTGGGCCTTCAAATGGGTCACCATCTCCTTGGTTTCCACTGTAAAAAGCGATCTTCAAATCAGCATTTTTGTAGTTTTCAGTCTGGGAAAATCTAAAACTTGATACAGAAGAGCATTTGCTAAAAGCCCGACCAACTGGGACCAAGGGAAGCCTAATGAGTCCCCTAGAGAAAGGCATAAGTGAGTTTAGTATTAGAACGTGACCATCTGGGTTTACTTGAAAAGAAACTATAGTGGGAGACTATTTGGAACAAGTTTGAGCCATAATGGTGTTGCATTTTATTGTCTGATCTCATTCCAATAGTGCCATTGATGATATCTGGTATGCCACACCGAGGCATCATCATCATCATTGACACAGTGTTATTATCTAACTCTCTCGTAACCTTGAGATTATAATTGAGCTGGTAGGTTTTGATGGTAGACTTTAAGAGATCATCAAAAACATCACTTTTGACATAGGTTTGATTCAATTTCGAATGGGATAAGCTTAGATAACCAAAATTTTTGAGATAATTTTTGAGTTTATGGAGCCCATCTACCTTGTCACCATTGCGAGAACCTTTCAAGTGTGTGATAAACTCAAAGGCTGAGGGTGTTTTGTCATTTGGTTCTGATAAATGTGCATGGGACTGGTGAAGTAAGAGAATGAAGAGAAGAGTTATGCATGGCAGGAGAAGAGAGAATTTGGGTGCCATTATTGAGTTAGAAGGAGAATTAATTGTTTAATAATGTATATGCTTCTATATTTTCATTGTTCTTATAAAGTGGTGATGAGAAAATTTAGTATTGGTGTGAAAGTAATGCTTTCCAAAGAAAAAGAATAAAAAAAGACAATTATTTTTTGATCCACACTTACAATTCTTTCTTTGTTTTGAGGGAAAAATCAATAAATACTTTTTAATGTGCTTGGATCAGTAGCCTTAAACTTTTAGTTGTTATATCCTTAATTATACTGGTTCAAAAAAATATCCTCAAATATATAAAACAATGTGGTCCTTGAACGCTCATTAGTGTCAAGGACCACATTGACTCAATGTTTGAACTTTTGGGGCCAAATTGATGAAATTGAAACTTGAAGGACCAAAGTGCAATGAGTGACAAACCTCAAGAACTATTTGTGCAATTTACCCTATTTTGGAAATCTTTTCTAGTAGTTTTGTGGGTAGATTACATCCACCTCCCTTGATGTTTGCCCAAATAACATCTAAACCCCCTCACGTATCTCAATCAATATCATTGAGCACCCAGTCAGTAATGTTTGTCTCGTTTTTTTAATAAAAATACCAAAAAGACTATCATGCCCTTAATGTAAATAGATTCTCTACTGTGGTTAAATTAAAATTTGTACTATCTATATAATAAAGTAGAACAATTTTGACTTCAAGAGACAAGGAGCGGCTAAAATTGTTTCGAGATAAAAAAAAGCATCATCCAACAGTCGACGCTATTCCAAACTGTCTCAAGTTATTGACATCTCAGATCAGTTCGATTCGACCTACTATATTAGCTCTTGAAATTTTTTTGCCGCTCAAAACTTTTAGTTTCCAAAACTAACATCCCTAAATTTAATTCTCCAACCCAATTAAATTCGGTAATTAAGTGATCTCTCACTCCTCAACTCTATCTATCTCTCACTAAAATACAGATTACAACTCTTATCATTATTTTCATGTTTTTGTTTCCTCTGTCAAGGGATCAATTTCTATGCTGGGACATTGACTATCTATCACACTCTCATCTTTCATGATTCTCTTTCCAAACTGAGACACATGTCTTCCCAAAATTCTATCATAATGTTGTTGTTTTCCATCTTTACAAGAATGTCTGTTATTGAACTAGAAATGGAAGAAAGACAAATAAAAGACAAGTCTATGAAGCATTCCAAGGATGCAAATGAGGAGCAATTGGCTAAAACTGCAATGGTGGAGCAAGACCAGGACCAGGACCATGACTCTACAGAGTAGAAAGAGAAGAGTTCTTCGAAAAAACGAAAATCCCACAAATTTGGAGATGTTGCCAATAAGAAAGTCAATGAGTGGATTTTATTTGAATAGTTGAGCCATTGCATCTAAGGCATAACACATCTCAAATGCTTTAACAACGATTCAATGTATTTGTTAGTTTATTTATCTGTCGCCATCTTATGCTCATCCTAGAAGTCGGGCTTGTGTTTTTTTGGTAGTTAGAAGTGGGGATTGTTGCTCTACAAAATTTTGTATGATGCCAATTTTGTTGAGTCTAACTGTAGAGAGCACATTTTTAGTGGGATTTCATCGTGTCTTTCAAATTTATTGTATATTAATTATTCTGTGTAAAAATATTTGAACCATTTGCTATTTGAAACACTCCCCTAAATATAGTTGTATAAGAAAATGTGGATGATTGAGCCTCACTGTGAAAAGTCGTGGGAGAAAAAGAAAAAGAGAAATTTAGAGGCAGGTCCCCCTATACGAACTTGTTTGGACTTAAGTCTGTCAAGGAAACTTATTTGTTATGAAGTCATTTTTTTGTTAATTTTACCATATTATCCCTTCTCTTTAGAAGTGAAATAAAACTAAAAATTAAAAACTCATAAATCTAAGGAATTTGACTAACATTAAATTTTTTTTTCTCTTATATATATATATATATACACACACACACACACACACATATATATAGTAACATTAAAAATAAAAAATAGTAATATTCAAATACAAAAAAAAATTATCATTTGGACACAAAAAATAATACATTTAAACACCAAAAAATAGTAACATTTAAATATAAAAAAAATTGAAACATTCAATATTAATATTTTAAAAAAATAACAACAGTAACATGTTCAACAAAAATATTAACATGCTTAACAAAAACTATAACATATTTAATAATAATTATTTCTCTCAAATTCAAAAGCAAAAAATAGTATCATTCAAATACTAAAAATAGTAATATTTAAAAAAAATAGTAATACTGGATATTAATATTTAGGAAAATAATAGTAGTGACACGCTCAACAAAAACAGTAACATACTCAAAAATAATAGTACATGTACAATAACATACTCAACAAAGCAGTAACATGAACAATAACATAATAAAAAAAATAGTAACATGAATTTGAATTTTATTATTCAAATTCATAGTAACTTTTTTTTGTATTTGAATGTTACTATATATATATATATATATATATATATATAAGAGAGGAAAAAATTTTATGTTAATCAAACTCTTAACCTATATATGGATATAGATAGATGTGAGAAATAAAAGATTAACTTCCTTTAAAAGAATGATATTTTTGAGATAAAAAAAAAAGTGGACTTAAGTCATTACATATAATTTTAAACATGGATTTAGCCCCTTATAAGTTTCCTTGTAGGATTTATCTCCAAACAAGTACATTTAGGGAGACTCACTTCCAATTTTCACAAAGAAAAACCATTAGTCTTTCTTTGTTGGGGCTCATGTAGGTGGTATGCTAGAGAACATCAGTAGATTCTATTTAGCCCACTATTTCAAAAAACAGCAACTCTATTTACCAAATCTATGCTTGAAGTCACTGTCTGAAGAAGATAATCAAACAATGATTATGGATTTGTACTTTTAGCAAATTGATGTGGTCATTCCAATACTAATCAAAAAAAAAGAAAGGAGAGGAGAACCGAAAAAAGGTGGTGAAAATAAATCATTATGTGGCTGGTGAAACTCGAACCTAGGAGTTACATACCCATCAGACACCTAACCTTGACCACTTTAGTTAATATAGAGATGGGTGGTGGGCTTGGGCTTGGGCTTGGGCTTGGGCTTGGGCTTGGTAGAATGTCTCCTCAAGCAAAGGATTTCAATGGCGGCAAAGAGCAGCATGTGTGGTATTACTTACTTAGCTAACAAATAAGAGATCAAATCGAGCACCACCAAAATGAGGAACCTACTTATTCTCAAGCGATTCATCAACGACTCATTTTCATCATCATATCACGGCGTTTCAGCAACTACTGTTTCTGTCAACAACTCTTCTGCTCCTTTCCTTTTTCCAACGAGTCAGTCTTTCTTTCTTTGTCTCAATTTCTCTATATTTTCAAGTATCTCTATCATTTCCAAATTTCTATCTATCTATGGGTCTTGGACTAATTATAGAAATAATGTCTTCTCATTCTATGGTTAGTTCAAGTATTAAGAAGTAGTAAACTCTACATTTATTAAATCTGATACTTTGTTTGGATAAAATATTAAATGATGATATAATATTAAATTATTAAAAAATTTTAAGATAAAAAGTAATATTTATATCTCATAAAATCGTTATTTAAGATAGTGTATGTAGTGTTGGGCCCAAAATATATAACCAAATATGAGTATAAGAGAAATAAGATAGGTCCTATATTATTTTTTCTAATCACACCTTCCTAAAGCAAACACAAAGCCCACTTTAAGTCTGTCTCTCTAAACGTCTCTCTCTGGAGCTCACTAACGCTTCAACCACCGAGACCTACCATTCCTCCGATTAAACCCATACCCACCGCCGCCGCCACTACCAAACCCATAACTACCGCGGCCACCTCTTGGACCACCACGTCCTAGCTTGTCGACGGGGCTCCGTTTGGCCCAGTGAGATCGATGGCCTTGGTCTTTTTACCCTCATGAATAACCAAAAATTATACCTCTTGGCCTTCATAGAGAGTTCGAAAGCCATCGGATTTGATCTCCGATTGGTGGACATGTAGATCTTTGCCTTCTTCGTAGGGTCTGATGGACCCCATAGCCCTTCTGATCGTTGAAGCGGACCACCTTCCCAATGATCTAGGGTTCTCCTCCGTCGCCATTGATCTCGAAAGAAACTGTTCTGCCTCCATTGTCCAATTATTTATGTAGAGTTTCTGCTTGCTCGTCATTTAAAAGGTGAGTGGATTAAAAGACTTCTGAAATCTTTTGCTATTTGGTGGTTCTTTTCTTAGGGTTATTAATTGGCCTTTTCCTATAAAATTTGGATTCTTTGGGTTTCATTCTTGTGTTCAATCGCTTTTATTAGTTATTATCTTTTGATCAGATTTTATTATTCAATTATTATTCTGACATATGTAGATATCAAACAGTTAATTTCGGTGGATATCAAACGGTGCACCATACAGCTTTCGGTTTGGAGACTCCAACTTTTGCAGCACCAGGTTCTCTGGACTTAAAATTGAACACTCTCCCTCCCGTTTGCTCTTCTCAATATTTACTCTAATTTCACTAACAAAATGAACTTTCAACAAAAAACTTGAACTTATTCAAATTAGAGTAAATAGACAAGGAGCAATGAGAAATGGACCTACCATCGAGTGGGTTGGTCCAATGGGATACCGGTCGAATTTCTTACTTTGAGGTTTTTGAATCTTAGAGTCTACTTTGAGACTCGATAGATGGGCGCTCCTAGCTAAGTTCGTTTCGAAGAGAAATAATTAGTGTTGTTTGGAGCCTCAGAATCCCATCACTGAAAGTCTACCTAGATGATCACTAAGCTCTCTCCTTTGCCCCCATCCCTATTTTATTTGGCAAAAAAAAATGTTATATGAACTGAATTTACTAACTTGATCAATTATTATTATTAATTTAACCGTGGATCTCAATTTTTTTAATACAAGAAACATTTCTCATAGGGAAGTGTGGTTGACCGTTGACTTCTTGTAAAACCCAAAGCGGGAAGCCTACGGGCTTCTCTCTCTCTCTCAAAACTTCAAGAGAACACTACTACCTAACCAGAGGGCTTCTCTCTCACCATTCATGTACTCTCCAACGCATACATGCTTGAAACTGGAAGTCCCCAACACCACGGAACCCGAACAAACTGAATCCATCTTCGTTAAAGGCACATGGTTCGCCTCTCGCTTCCACCTCTCCATCACCAACGGCCTCAATGCTTGGATTTGCAACGGTGCGAGCATTTTTTATTCAAATTATCGATAAATTGTGTTTTCAGAAGATAAAATATTGATAAAATTTGTTTCTAAAGTGTTTGAAAATTTTTAGGATTGGAAGATGATGTTAGAGAGAGATCGTCTCAATGGGACCAACCTGTGTCGGAATACATCGAGTTGGCTGAGCGTTATCTAGGGTTTCAACAGCCCGGTTCAGTTTATGGGTTCTCCGATGCTGGAAATGGGGATAGAAGAGTTAGTATTCCTTTATTTATCCTGTTATTTATTGGTATTTGTTCGTTTGTATTTAGATAGGTTCATCACTCATGTATGTTGTTGTATGTGTGCACAAAGGTAATTTTGGAATAAAAGTTGTTACTTGGATCGATTTGGGTAAAATTGGGTGTTTCTTCTGAGTTCAATTATTGTAATTGTACCATCGATGATAATATTGTTATGGAATACAGTATTGTTGTTGGACTTTTCCTTATCAATTAACGTTGTGATCACAATTGTTCGATGTTAGTGGCTCACTAACCAATGATATACGTGAGTTCGTTATAAAAGGTTGGGAAGAGTAGCATTACTCTTTGCAATCTGGATTTTGTTCCATAGTTTTGATGTTCCTTTGAAGTTACAAAATTATGTATGTTGTAGTTTTTCTGGTGTAAACAGATATATGTAGGATACAAAGTTGATTAGAACTTGTGCTAATTTAATTAGGTGCAATTGATATGTAGTTTTTGGTGATGCTAAATTTAGGAGGCCATTGTCAGTGTAGGTCCCAACAATTTATTGTGTCAGGGTTTTGGGGTGAGTGAAGAGGGAAATACGTAGAAACTTAACCTAACTTTTGGCATATTTGCTTAGATTTATGCTCTAATGCTTGTTAACCCGAGGCTTCACTATCGCTCCAAGCAATGACCCTAATGTTGGTAATTCCAAATTCCTAATTGAAATGTTGAATGCAATTACTACTTGATGCTTCATGCTTGTATTGCTATGCCTATAGGTTTTGTATAGGGTAGAAATTCCACGTATTTGTCACAAAACTTAGTTCATTATGATGATTGCAAAGCAGCAAATGTAAATTTTCTTGCAATCAAATGTAAGTTTTCTTTTCCTTTTTTTTGGGTTCTGATTTGTTCTTTTATTTTCTGGAGCAATGTTTTGCAGTTATCATGGACATTTCATAAAGAAGGGACTAAGCTTGAGTGGCGATGGAAATGTCAACTGTCGCCTAACAGGAAGGAAACTACAGCTGGAATTTTGGACTTTCTTATGGATGCAAATATCCGACTAAGTGTAAGATTATTAATTATTGTTTTGTTGTCATAAGCAATGTAACTTAGATGCAATGCTCTCCAACTTGCCCCCATTAATGTAACGGTAGTTGGGGAAAGAAATTACCTACTAACTCTAAGCTTCGAGTAGGCACATACGCAAATGAACAAAGAAACTCCCAAGATATCATGGGGCATTAAGTGCTTGCATCCAACATGTAGCTTCTCATTGACTTTAGTAGTTCTCAGTGTGACACCAAGTGTACCCGTGATTGAACTCCATGTATTTGTTCGTGGTCTCATATTGGCTTTGATAATTTTGCACCTAAGTTGGTAGTGCATTGCCTTGTGCCTGTGATGATATGATGCTGATTTATGGAAATTGTTGTTGCTATACTCAGTTTGAAGTTTCTTCTTGTTTATTGACCTATACAAGTTAATATGATGCTGGAATTGGGTATGAGCTGACAATTTTCACTTTATGTAAATAGGAGGAAGTTGTAAGTAAAGCCCAATCATGTGAGAAGCTAAAAGTGGAGGCTGAAAAGTGTTTGGCACAAAGTGAAAGATTCAGCAACGAGAAGGTAGAATTTGAATCTGCAATCTATGCTAAGGCACGTGTCTTCTAACCCAATGCCTTTAATATTCTCATTGTTGATGTTGCAAGTGGTGCTTGGTGCATAACCATCATGTAAATCATCTTTCACCTCAATATTCTTGTTTTGGTAAAGTTGTCTGAAAAAGAATGTTCTTTACTCCCCGTTTCACCCTATCTGCATTTCTGCCATGCCTTTTGTCACCAAAACCATGGCCTACCATCACCATGAGTTAAGTAATTGCTGGGTTGTTATTTTCTTTTCTCCAAGAGCGAAAGAGGAAAATTGGATTATGGAGAGGATTTTATGAGAAAAAATGTGTTTCTTTATGAGAATTTTTTTTTTTGAAAGAGGGAGGTTGAGAGAGAGAGGTTTTGAAAAGACCGAGAGATATGATTTAAGTGTCGTTTTCAAAGAGAGATTTTCTATAGACAACTTTTTTTTTTTCTCTTGAGATATTGGTTTTTAAATAGAAATATTTTCTTTTTTTTTTGTTGGCCAAGTTTGACCACCACATATGCAATGTATATCGATTTCTAAATTAGCCGTTATTCATAAGGACATGCATGTGACCGTTTTTGTCTAAAAACCTAACACATTAACAGGGAAGGGACACATTGCTCTACAAGGTGAAGTTTGAGGACAAAAATAGAGAAATAAATGAAGTTTAGGGCTAATTTGGAACGAGTGCCAAAGCCTAGTGGCCACCATTATTTTTAAGACTTTTTTCCTCCCACATTAGGAAATAGAGTAGTTTGGTGAACTCTTTTAGATGTATGGTAATTGGGGATTTTGACTAGATGAGTTTATGTGATATCTTATAATCTTGTCATTATTCTTTGTTACATATGTTTTGAGATTCTGGGGATGGCATGTCATCTTTCTGCTTCCAGTTTCTTGGCGTTTTGAATTCAAAAAAAGCAAAACTTAGAGAGCTTCGAGACAAGCTTTCAAAACAGGAAAGTTCTAGAAAATTGCCGGAAGAAGAGGAAGAAGAATCCACCGACAAAACTGAGATTTATGGAAGTGATGATGAAAAAAGTGAGGAAGAGCCTGCGAAGAATCTTATTGGCACTTCAAAGAATGTTTCAGCAAGTAGGCCTCGCGGTCGCTAGAGGAAGTAAATGTCACTACCTGATGTCCATATATGTATGTTAAGCCGTTGCCATTCCCCTGTCCTCGCCTTCGGAAAAATTTGATATGAAGATTTTCTTGCTAGTTCACAGTTGCTTTGTAAGAATTTTATGGAAAAAATAAGTTAATAACAAATGTCTTCTTGTCAGTTTTATATTTTTGGTCACATACCACTTATCCCAAGTTATAACAAGGCCCAGGTAAAGAGCAAAGTTGTTCAAATTGCGTTTAATCGATTAATCATTATTATATGTGTTTGTAAATATTGTTGCGTTGCAGTATTGACTGTTGTACACTCTTATTTGAGTTCTTGTTTTAAGCTAGTATTTGTCCCTCCCCACCTACATCCCCCCTTCTCCCGTTTTTTAAGTGGAACAATGCTTACTTAAATTTGATTTATTGATAGTAGGTACCACTCAATATTCTTTGGAACCTACGATTAATTCAATGATTGTGATGAATTATGTTAATAAATTAGATCCAAATAACATTATTGTTTTAAGTTTTGTAGCACTTTTGGTGAACAAAAGGCTGTGTTAATGGTATTTGCATACCAACACTATTGTCCTTCCCAAAACTCAAAAACAGTGGGTTGTACAAGAGATTGTTGATTCAACTATATACATCTATTTGGGATATAAAATTTGAAAGTAGTTTTGGGATGCACATCATTATTATTTGCATGAATATACAAATAAAGCGTAAAAAACACAGCCAAAATGCAACTTAATAGGCTATAGAAACTATCAGATGGAGCAATACAAAAGGGAATCAAAAAGCGCAAAGAAACCAGTTACAAAGATAGTGCAGCATAGCAATCTGGTAAAAGTACCACTCAATCTAAGAATACCCACAGCCAATTACTTTAGACAAGTTAGTATAGATGAACAAGGCATGAACGCAGACCCATTGGAGCATACCCAGTTTTTCTTTGCAAAAATCCAGCAAGCCTTCTCAACAAAATCATAGATAACAGTTTCCCATAACTCTTCAAACACTCCACTGGCTGGTGCATCAAATTGAAATCACTGTTTGTTCCATGAGATTTAGGTAGAGAAAATAGTAGATGTCGAAAGCATCGACCATCCAAAGATGAAAAACTTAAAGCATTGCTTGTTGTACCCCACATTGTATAAGTTTCAGAGGAAACAATCACAAATCTTTCTAAAGAGAATTAGGAAGTGACTCGAGGGCCGTTTGACATTGTTTATTCACCAACACATGGTGTAGTAATGTCAAACTGACTGCTTCATTAGGCAAGAAATTTTTATTACGCATCTCTTTAAAGAACTGCATTGCTTTGGTGATCTCATTTTCTTGGAGAAAACCTCGAATGATGATGTTAAATGAAATGGCAGCTGGGAAGCAACCCTCCTCTTCCATCCGCAAGAACAATTTACTGGGCTCCGACAACATCCCATTCCTGCAGAGGCCATTGATCATTATGTTATATGTTACAATATGAGGCACCATACCTTTCTTCAAGATTTCATCAAACTGTTCCTTCGCTGCAGCTATTTTACCAACTCTGCACATCCCATCAATGAGTGTGTTGAAAACTTCAATATTAGTTTCAAGCCCAGCACTCTTAATAGACCTAAATACATCCATTGCCTCTTCGAGCTGTCCATTTTTGCAGAGCCCATTTAACAGTATAGAATAAGAACACAAATCTGGAGATAACCCACAAGTTTGCATCTCATTGAATAGTCCCTTTGCGGTTTTAACTCTTTCTGCCTGGCAGAGTGCTCCTATTAGTGTGCTGTAAATTACAGTGGTGGGCTTCAGCCCCTTCTCATGCATTTCCTGAAAAAGGCGCATAGCTCCATCAATTGCCCGACCTTTACAATACCCATTAATCAATGTATTGTAGCAAGTAACATCCTGTTCAAGACCTCTGTGTTCCATTTACTTAAACAGCTCTGCTGCATCATCCAAGCTACCTGTCAAACATAATCCATAAATCAGCGAATTATACGTAAATTCATTAGGCTTCTTGCCTAGCAGAATCATCAGGTCAAACACCATCCTAGCTTCTCCCACCATTCCCCTTTTACAGAGACAATCTATTAATATCGTAAATGTTACAACATCTGGTGAAATCCCTTGTCCAACCATTTTATCAAAAATTCTTGTAACTTCCTTCCACAAATCCAGCTGACAAAAACCATGAATCAAAGAACTATATGTTACAACATCGGCATAAATCCCTCGGCCAACCATTTCATCAAAAAGTCTCACATCTTCTTTCAACCGGCCTGAACTACACAAACCATCAATTAAACAACTGTAAACAATGACATCTGGGGTAACACCTTCATGAATCATGTCGGAGAAAAAATCAAGTGCCTCATTCATCAACCCATCTTTGCAAAGAGAATCAATGATCATGCTATATGAGGGCACCTTTACTTCAACTTTCTCTTCAGTCATTTTATCAAGAAACTGAACTGCACTCAAAACCTTCCCCTCCTTACATATACCTTTAACCAAAGTACACAATGTAACTGAATCTGCTTTCAAACCCCTCCTCAACATTATGCCAAATACACAAAACCCAACACTTATTTCACCCAAATGACAGCAACAATTAATTAAAATATTCAGAGTATACAAGTCAGGCTCACTACCTACCAAACCCATTTTCTATGCAATAAAAATACAAGTTTGGAGGTAGAGCCTAAAATATGATTAAATGTATCGATTGACGGTATGGGTTGCATTTGAACCACTTCGTCGAAGTACTTTACTGCATCTTTGAGCTTAATGTTACCTGATTTACACTGATCCCTCACGTAACGTTCGAACCGGTTCGGAAGACCAGTAACATTCTTTCTTGAACCAGATTTTCTGGGTTCGGAATTTGAGAAGGAAATCTGAGGTGGGTTTGTAAAGAAAGAAGAGAGAGAGAGTGTGGGAATTTATTAGTCTTTTGTATTGCAGTTCTTGAAATAGTATTTGGCATTATTTTGCAACGCCAAGTTTGTATAACAAATTTATATGAATGGATTGATCTGTGTATGACATTTAGGAGTTGCAGAGATGTAGGGTGGTGGAGCAATGGACATGTCTATTGATGATAATTTTTTAAGTTTGAACATCTGCACAAAGGTGTGCATGTGGGGTGGGTTTGGGTGGTTCGTTTTTTTGGGTTGTTAGGGAAAAAAATAGGTAATATGTATAATTTTTCTTATTTGGATTTA